AACAGAGCAAAGCATCTCCTTTATAAGGAGGTCCTCTAAGATTGAGTCGAGTATTCAGTTTCTTTAGCATCTCTGTAAGACCATCATTATCCATGAGATTTGGTTGGTATCATTAGATATAAAATTATTAAAACACACGTTCTCTCTTCCTTTTACTCAACTTTATACTTTTTCTTTCATCATTTTATTCAATTTTTATTAATTTTATATTTAAACACACCCTAACTAAAGTTTAAACTCTCTCCAAAAGTATCAACCATTGATACAAAGACACTCTCTCTCCAAAAATATCAATTCATCTCCTTTTTTTACTCAAATTTTATTAATTTTATATTTCAATACATTCTATTATTTCAACCAAAAACACTCTCTTTCTTTTTTTAACTCAAATTTTAATAATTTTATATCTAATGATACCCACCAAATCTCTCTCTAATATTCTCAAAGAAAGAGAGGGTTTCGTTTGTTCTTTACATCAAAAGTCTTATCAATTGGTGCGGTGAGCCGTCTTGAGATGCGGCCGACGAAGAAAGTTCTGAATCCAATCACCGGAGCGGAGTCGCCGGTAATCGATCTAGTCGATCGAGTAGAACAACTTTCCATGGAGCTTTATTCATCGATAAAAGAGACGAAGAGGCGTCTGGATCCGGTGGAATCAATGCTTCAGGAGCTTGTCACGCTCGTGAAAGCTGGGTATCGAGTGACGGAGACACCGGAGGTGCATGGGAGAGAAGAAGAGATCTCATCGGAGCAGAATCATCAGACTGATGATCAAGAGGTGAAAACGATTGAAGAGGAAGACTCGAAACCAGTGACAGAATCGATTAAAGCAACAGAATCAAGACAAGAATCGTGTAAACAGAAGGAAGATGAATCGATTTTGGCCAAGGAAAATCAATCGCTTGGAAAGGAGGAGACACCTCTCGATACTCCTACTCAGGTAACTCAATCTGATTCGAGTTTGATGTTGATCGGAGATGTCGAGAAGGATCCGGAACAGTTAGTTGATGGGGAAAATGCCTGCCAAGTGTTCGACGTAATGTCATTGGGAACGAAACTGGTGAAACATAGGAGAAAGAAAACGTTCACCAAGACTTGGCGATTCAAGTTTAAACACATTGTAGATTCTATAGAGAACAGAACAAGACAGATTGTCAAGTTTGAACAGACTACGATTAGGGAAATCACGTTTGGTACTACGAAGAAGAAGGCAAGATGGGTGAGACACGTTTTAAGAGGCCTGAAACATGTTTTCTGTGGTGATGGGCAGTTCAAAGTGAAGCACATATGGGAGGAAGGAAATATTTTTGTTTTTTGGGGACCTGGGCTAGTGACAATGCCTAACCAGTGTGTTTTACACACCTTGTGCCAATGGAAAGAAGCACTGATACAATGGCTGCTGCAAGTTTTGTTTCACCTGCTTCCGTCGAAAATGTTGTTCGGACAACGAATTTTACCAGTCTTGCATCCTCTAGTCCTTCAAGATCGCGATGACTTGCAAACTGAAGTGGAGGGACAACTATTTTTTACAAAAGAAGACGCTTTTTCTATTCTTACCAAAAGAACATTGCTACATGTTCCAGTCCAACAAAGGCAGAAGCAGAGACAGTGTTATAAAACGTGGATGTTCAAATACAAACACAGACCACAATGGAAGCCCTGGACCGAAAAGCAGCATCTTCATCTACAAGAAGCTCATGCGTTTGTTACGAGACATGAAGCTTATGCGTTTGTTCTGAGTAGAGCAGTTGGAACTTGGGAATGCAGAGAATTTGAGAGGCAGAAGGTATATACTTCAAGCAGAAGCGGGGATTGCATAGTAGATCGCTGGACTTGTTCCAATGGATCCTTGGATAATTTTCAGTCACATATCGGTTCAGTTTTTGCTCCTCCAGAACAACAATTCGTGGCGTTTTTGAAATCAGGGCGTTTCAAGTT